AGCTCAGGGGAGCCACATGGCAGGCTGGACAAGCTCAGTGGCCAAAAGTGACCACACAGGATGGTCTGATCATAAACTCCAGACTGGACAGGCCATGGCTGGTAGTCAGGTCCCAGGCTTATAGTCGCGTCCCTGTCTTTACCTTAAGTGAGCCCTGTCCACTGTTTTTATGCATCTAGGATATCTTACCTCTGAAATGTCAGAGTAGCTTTCTTTTCCAGACCCCTCAAAGGCACACCTGCAGGCACCAGAGCACAAGGCCACCCGAGCAGGAGACCACAGAGCCCTTTATTATCACCTTGTTCCCAGCACACCTTCTCTACGGGCTGCAACGGGTGAATGTTAGCGATCTGCACCCACCACTGTAAAAGTATGTGTTTCTCCACTTCACTTTTTTTCCAACCCTAGAGACAGACTTCCCTGCTTTGCTTTCTCCCGCCTCCTTAATCTACCACCAGTGGATTTCATGTGCCTTCCTTCTGTTTTCTCCTTTGATTCTAAATGTATACAATGGGCTGCAAAGCCGCCGGTCTCTGAGCATTTTCCCAACCCACTCAGATCTTGCTTCTTGGCATGTCCTCAAAATTTTGGCTCAAATAAATTCTTAAAATTTTTCTTTAGGTTTGGACCTTTCATTGACAGGTGCACTGAATTCTAGTAGCAGCTCTGTGAGGTAAGTAGGGTGGGTTTTGTTTTCCTATGTAAAGATGAGACAGCTGAGCCTCAAAGAAGTTAACCATTTAGCCAAGGTAAGATTCACGTCCCCAATTCCAATGTGTGTGTGTGTGTGTCCCCTCATCTCCAAGCACCAGATGGGTGTCCTACCATTTAACTCAATTCCAACACTATTTACCTGCAGATAGTGTCAGGTCCCACAGGTTAAGGCTCAGTCCTACAAGACTGTACCTGACACCCACTCCCCAACCCCCACTTTAGACACCAATTGTAAGTCCAGGTTGTCACCTGTGTCTCAGGAAGTCACTGGTTCAAAGAGGTTAAGAGACACTTGGAGCAGACCCTTCTGAGGCTCGGAGCCAATCTGGATCAGTCGGTCAACTCACAGATGTATGAAAAAGAAACATATAGTAATGAAACTAGGCTACTGAGTTTTGGGGTGGTTTGTTACACAGCACTGTGGCAGCAACAGCTAACTGATACAACTACCCTAGTCCAGGTCACTATATTTTCTCTCTCCTGCCAGTGCCTCATAGGTGGTCATGCTCCTGTCAGTCCTGTCTGGCTCCAACCCCTTCTCCATGTAGCAGTCAGAATCTTCTTTCTTAAAGACATACAGTGAAAGGCGCCATTCCCTCTCCAATACCCTTTAGTCTTTCCATTATCGTGGCTCACAGTGTCCTTTACCACATGAGTTTTCCCTAGTTTTGTTCCTGCCACTTCCCACTGCCCACACCTTACCCCCAGCCACAGGAGCTGCCCTTGGGTATGAAGCCTTCTCATGGTTTCGTCCTTTAACTGGCTGTTCTTTCTGCTTGGAAAAAATCCCCTCCCTCTCTTCACCTGCTTGGCTCCGGAAATCTTAGATGCTCAGAAGAAGTGTCTCTTCCTCGCAAGCATTCCAGGTCCCCTAACCCCTGCCACAAAATGCCACACACTGTCACGGTTCCTGCACCAGTCCTTGGGAGGACACACATCACACTTTGCTCTGGATTGTCTGCACAGCTGTCTCCTTGCAGGGGCTGTAGTTCCATGAGCACAGAAAGATGTCTGTCCTGCTCGTGGCAGCAGCTCCAATAACTGTTACCGGCTTAGCACACAGTAGGTGTTCAATTAATGTTTAATCAGAGAAAGAAGGAACTGGGCAGAAAGCTCAGGGTGAGGCCGTTTCTGGTCTCCTTTTCTGTTTTACTTTTGTGGATTCTTGAGTCTGGTGGGCTCTCACTTGGAGAGGCTTTCCCTGTTATTTCTTTTGCATTTCTGAGTTGGAGCTCAGAAATCTGCGTTCTGCTCTGGCTTCCTGGAGCCTGCCTGGCAACTTTCTGAGTTCTGTTGAGCATCGCCAACAGAAGCTCATCGCCAAAATGGGGCAAAAGTGCTCATTTTCCAAACTCTGACTTTAAGAAATATTTTTATTTCATGCACTTAAATAGCTAGCTGGCTCCCGAGAAAGCCACAAGGGCTAAGAAATGTCAAAATCTGCAGAACTGCATTCATTCCTTGCTTTCAAATGCAGAAAACAGCTGTCTGGATGGTAATTATCCAGTAATTATGACGTGGAAATCCCATCTAGTGAAGATGGAAAAATCGTTTCAGAATTGTCAGCAGGTCCCTCATGAGGGCAGGAGAGGCCACTAAACCCACACAAGAGCCTGCTCAGCTCTGCTGTCAGAGATGCGGATGGATAGCAGGGGTGGCAGCCCCACTAACCGGAAGGCTCTCCCAAGTGTCCTGGAAATGAACCCCTCTCCCAAGAAAAGTTTGGAGGTGCAGAAGAGGAAAGAAAAATGCTTGTGGCAAACAAGCCCCTGAGTTTGCTTTCCCAGGAACCTGGAACTGTTTCTCCAGGCAACTCTGCAACTTGGCACAAGGTGACACAGTGACGCTCCCAAATGCCACTGGGCATGGGGGACCGGCCCTAGAGGGCCCGAGGAGAGCCAGGGAGAGACCCAGGAACTGTATAAACAGTCCTCATGGAAGAATCCAGAACATTCCTCCAATCTTCAGTCAGAGGTGCACTGTAGACACATCACATGTCACGGCCTAGAGCAGTGAGGATTTTAGCTGCCACAGTGTCTGGGGGGCTTTTTAGAACAGGAACCTGGGGGTCAGGAGGTCCCTTCTCTTCCAGGTCTCTCTTTGTCTCCATGAAGTTGAAGAGCTCACTGTAGCCTTAATGAACACACCCTAGCCTCTCTTCTAGCAAAGATTCAAACTCAGGATGGTTCTGCCACAGTGACAACCCTCAGCTCCTGTGCCCCCAGCCGGGCATGGTGGCCGCTGTGGCACGATTTCCATTTGGCAATAATACCCTCCCCCTTTGGTCTCTGGGGCCTGGGGAGAGAAGCAGATCTCACTGTCTTCTCTCTGCCTTTTTCTGGCTGTGTGATTTAAGCTTTCTCGGCCCTGGTCTCCTGACCTGCACAAGGGGACTTGGAACAGCACTGCAGCTAGGGGGCCACCTGTGAGCCCTGCCTGCCTCGCCCAGCCCACCTCACCTCCGCATTCGCGCAGCTCTGGCCTCCCTTCTGCTCTCAGACACCGTCCCCCTCAGTGTCTTTCCACTTGCAGTCCCCTCTACACACCCAACTTTTTTTGTCATTTGCATTCAGCACAAAACCCATCCCCTTTTCCAACAAATCTGGAGGGCTGAGAAACCACCTGTCACAAGAGTTGAACGAACCCAGAGTCCAAAGCTTGTATAAACCAAGGCTGACCCGCCTTTACTAATTTACTGCCCAAGTCCAGTCCTTGCTTAGATTCCTTTGTAATGAGCACTAGCTTTCTTTGTCCTGCCCATCTCACAAATTCGTTGATTTTGGGGTCTAAAAGGGATAAAGTGACTAGTTCAATCATTTCTTTGAGCCTCCTTTTATGCTCAGCATCATATTAGGATTCTCCCATGCACACATTTTACACTGATTTTCCTCCTGTTAATCTAGTCTTGTCAATTTTATTATTTTATCCTAGACCAACCACAAGAACCAGAGCAGAGTATCCCCTCTCCCCAACAACTGCAACCGGCCGGATACACCTTCCGTCGTTGAAACGGACATTGGTCAAGCAACTTTGAAGACAACTACCATTTGATAAAATGAGCTACAGTATTTTCCGCAGAATATAAAGTTACTTAGAATATACCATACAGACCGACTACAGTCACGCCCAGCAGCCCACTTAGAGGAGCACTGAGCACCGGGCAGGTGTGACAACTTCTGAGGTACAATTGGTTTTTCTTTCAGATACAGGAAGACATCTCTAACTGCAGTGCCTTCTCAGTCTTTGGACAGTGTCTAGGGCAGGAGCTCCCAGTAGCAGAGGAGGGACATTTTGGCAAGTTGGGAAAGAACGTTGAAATCTACTTGGACCCCCCTCTGTCACCTACCTACAAACCCACCTGAAGCCATAATCAGCTTAACCTTGACAGAGAGCTCGGAGGCCACCACAGGAGGGCCTGACAGTTGCCAGATCCCTAGCAGAGAGGGAATCTTGCATTTTGTGCCCCTTCCTTCACAAATAAAAATATTTTGCATGTAAAATAAATGCATTTGAGAAGGGGGTTGGCAAATTAAGGCCCCTGGGCCAGTCTGGCTCACCACCTGGACTTGCATAGCCCATAAATTAAGAATGGTTTTTACATTTTCAAATGGTTGAAAAGAAATGAAAGAAACATAATATATCATGACATGTGAAAATTACACAAACTTCAAATTCCAGTCTCTTTTAATAAATTTGTACTTAAACAGCCACACTCACTCACTTCCATGTCATCTATGGCTGATCAGGCTATAGCAGCAGAGCTGAGTAGATGTGACAGAGACCGTCTGGCCCACACAGCCCAAAGTATTTACCCTCTGTTGCTTTACAGAAAAAGTTTTCCAACCCTGCCGTCGAGTCCTGAGTGTCCCCACAGGCCTGGCTTTGGAAGGACTTTGATGGGGAGAATTTGTTTCCAACCTCAACATTAATATTTCCACCACTCCTTGCCTTGAGACAAAGTCACAGTGGCCAAGGCCACTAAAAACAGAGTCCATGTAGCCCCTGGATTTAAAGAGAAGCCACAAGCCCGGCCGGGCGTGGCTCAGCGGCTGAGCATCAACCTAGGATCTAGGAGATGGAGGTTCAATTCCCGGTCAGGGCACATGCCCAGGTTGTGGGCTGGATCCCCAGTCGGGGGCGTGCGGGAGGCAGCCGATCAATGACTCATCATTGATGTTTCTCTCTCTCTTTCTATCTCTCTCCCCCCTTCCTCTCTCTGAAATCAATAAAGATGTATTTAAAAATAAATAAATAAATAAATAGAAGCCACAAATAAAATCGCTTACGTAGGATCCATAATCCACAGCCAAAGTCTGCAGGGCCCAGGGGAGACCGAGGCCAATGAGGATGTCAAACACATTGCTCCCGATGGAGTTGGACACGGCCATGTCCCCCATGCCTGCAAAGACAAGAGGTCACTCGAGTAAGGGAAGTGATCCCAGGGGAGCGCAGGTGCCCCACGAGAAACTCTCCCAAGCCTTCAGTCTGATAGCCAGGGACCTAGCTGGCAGGTCTGCAGCTCACATATTTGGTTCTCTCCCAGGCCATCACTACAGAGCAGCGACTTTCAACCTTTTCATCTCATGGCACATAAACTAATTACTAAAATTCTGCGGCACACCAAAAAAATTTTGTTTGCAGATCTAACAAAAAAAAAAAAATAGGTATAATTTTGATTCATTTACACTGGGTGGCTATTGTAGTGTTGTCATTTCTAAAAATTTGACAATCTAAGGGAAAAGAGGTCAGTGCCCCTGACTAAATAGTCAGGTATTGCATGTTCTAAAAATTCTTGCGGCTCACAAGTTAAAAATCACTGCTACAGAATGATGCTGACTGTAAAACCCATAGCCATCAGAACAGAATATGTATTTTCAATAGAATAGAGTAAAATACACATTCTTTAAACTGTTGACCTTTTCTTCAAATATGATCACTGGTTAAATGTAAGTGCTTCAAAAGACCAAACATGATTCCAAAAAACTTGAATGCACCCTTATAGAAAGAAATAAACTCAACAGTTTCATAAATGGGCTCATGAGCTCACCGGCCCGTACATTTCAGGATCATTGCCCACCTGTGTGACACTGTACTCAACTCCCCTAAACCACTGAGCAGTATTAAGAGAAAGGATATAACCAGCAGACTTTTTGAGGACTTGTAGAGGACACTGCACTCAGTGTCGCAGCTATACATTTTGTTGGGAAAAAGGTCCTCTAGCACAAACCAGGCGTAGAAGTTAGAGGGGTACTGGGGAGGGGCATGGCCATCTGAGGGGCATCCATCTGGGAAGGTTAACTGTAACCTTGGTTTTGAAAGAGGGGAGGGTCTATCACACCCTGAAGAGTGACTTCTGGCAACTGCCACCTTGAGGGTTACTGTAGCTGGGTAAACCTGAGACTATGGGGTTTGTCCTTTCTAAGCCTCAGTTCCCTTATCCTTAAAATGGGTGTATGATTGCCTCTAACTCAGGATTAAGTTATATAAGATAATATGCCAGAATTGCTTTGCTCAGTGTGTGGCACTCAGCAAAGGTTAGCTATCATTATACTTACTACTATTTTTAATCATAAAAAAATGGTCCCCGGCCAGGTGTGGCTCAGCGGTTGATCAAGTATTGACCTATGATCCATGAGATCGCAGTTCGATTCCCGGTCAGGGCACATGCCTGGGTTGCGGGCTCGATCCCCAGTGGGGGGGTGTGCAGGAGGCAGCCGATCAATGACTCTCTCATCATTAATGTTTCTATCACTCTCTTTCCCTCTACCTTCCTCTCTCTAAAGTCAATAAAAATATATTTTAAAAAAACTACAATAAAGTCATTAAAAATAATAATAATTTAAAAATGGTAATACAACCTCCAGAAGGGGGAGGCAGGTGCTACCTAGAAAATGTCTGCTTTTCTCCAGGGTGGACCTTCTGGCTTGTTTCCCTGTTCTTCTGATGCCAAGAGGCCTTTTGACCAACACGGCACTGAAGTCACCCATCACTCCTTCCAGGCTGGGATTTGAAGCCCTGGTAATGGCCATGTGGACACCCACCCTTCCACACCCCTGTTGAGAGGTCTTCCTTCCTTCTACCCCATCCCACTGGGGGCCTCACCTTGTCTGGCCACAATGAGGCTGGCCATACAGTCAGGCACACTGGTTCCAGCTGCCAGGAAGGTGATCCCCATGATGACGTCAGGAATCCCCAGCGTGTAACCAATGATTGTGACCTGGAAGAGGCGGAAAGAGGTGATGAGTTGAGGGCAGACTCCAGTCCCACTGCCCATGAATCCTTTGACCAAGAAGCAAAGGATAACACACCAGAGCTGGGATGGACCGGTCATTGCAGGGTGCCACTTGACCCCACCTTCTATAGTTACAAGAAATGTACACCACATGCCGTAAGCAAGGTATTGTCACAGTTCTTCCCGGCCAGCCATTGACAGGGACAGCCTGCATGACACCCTGACTTCCTCCAAAGGCCACAGTTGCTCCTTCACAGTCCAAAGGTTCGGAGGAAGTTAGATTTGTTGAGATGCCCGGCTCGCCCCCTTTCAGACTGGAGAATGCACCTCATTTCCATTCATTGCTGAAGTGAACTTGGGGTGGGCCTGGGGTTCTCTATCTTGCTCTCTCCAGGGAGGAAAGTGAGGCACAGAAACACACAGCATGTCCATTTGTCGTTCTGAGGAGGCTTTTGAGAAACGGCGCCACCAGCATCCTGGCCTAACCCTGTTTACCTTCCTAACAACCCTCTGCTGGGTCCCTGCGGGAATCAGGTTTGCTCGCTGGGGCTTGGCCTGGACAAGAGCTGCTCCCCCACTGCCTGCTGGTGTTGTGATGCTTGCGGTTGAGTCTGGAGCTTTGGGGAACCAATTTCTCAGGTGGCTGGGCCAGGTCTCCTTCTTCCTCTTTTCTCCCTGTTCCTAGCCATTTCTCAGAACTTCTTAGACCCACACCTGCACCAGAGCAGGAGGCAGCCAACAGAGGGAGGGTTAACCTCAGATTGGTAGGTGGGTTTGCCTGTTAGTGGTCTTGGGAGAAACCATTGAGCACCTAGAGCTCAGGGACACCAACACTCGTCCCCAAGCCTGGAACAGAGATGGCACCCAATAAATACGTCAAATAAAAGTGCTAATGGCCCAGCCAGTGTGGTTCAGTGGTTGAGCATCAACCTAGGATCCAGGAGATGGAGGTTCAATTCCCGGTCAGGGCATATGCCCAGGTTGCGGGCTCGATCCCCAGTAGGGGGCGTGCAGGAGGCGGCCCATCAATGATTCTCATCACTGATGTTTCTCTCTCTCTCTCTCTCTCTCTCTCTCCCTTCTTCTCTCTGAAATCAATAAAGACATATTAAAACAAACAAACAAAAGGTTAATAAATACAGGAGAAGGGAGAAATCCATGGCTATACAATTTGGGTTGAAAAAAAAATTACCTGTTTTCTGTGATGTTGAAGGCAAGGGATAACTATAATTTAATTGTGTCAAGTTTACAAATTTGTTATTATGTTCAAAATAATCCTTTCAGAACCTTTTATTAGCTCTTGAGTATAATTCTCCCACTCCATTGATGTTGGGGATGGCTGATGGAATATGGGTGGAAGTCAAAGCCAAGGCCCTAAGAGGCACCTTGCATTTCCACTTGCCCTCGTGAACTCCAATGAGCCACCACGAGAAGAGCATTCCCCAGGCAGTCACTGATCCAAGAAAATGGGCAAACACGTGGATTAGATGTGAACCCCCACTGCTGCCTGAATGAAATGTAACCATGCTATGGCTTAAAGCAGAGCTGCTCAGTCAGTGCTGCTGAAATTAGTCCGACCATAGTCAACCTGAAGACATGTGAGCAAGAGGATACGTGTTTGTGATTCTAAACCACTGTGTTGAGGGGTGTTTTGTTACACAGCTTTTACTGCTGCAGTAGCTGACTGATACAGTTACTGGGCAGACACCCCAGCCCATATTCTCCTCTGGTTGAGTGTGTTTTTTTCTCTACCAAGATCTAGTGCTGCCACGGGGTCCTGGATGCACTCACCATCCACACCATCATGTAGGAGAAGGCTGCGATCCACAGGGTGGAGGAGGCAAATGTCACCATAAACCACTTCTCCCAGCGGGGCTTGTTGCAGTTGGGTACAGTGAAGTATAAGACAAAACTCAGTGGCCAGGTGAACACCCATTTCACTGTTTCCAGTTTGCCAGCTAGGGAAAGCAAAAAGGCAAAAA